AAAACCCCAAATGCATTGATACAAGATGGGGAATACATGGCTCAACAGAACTGAGAGAAGGACCTTGCAGTTATTGTGGACAACAGGCTAAATATGAACCAACAATGTGATGCAGCTGCAAAAAGGGCAAATGCTATTTTGGGATGCATTAATAGAAGTATTACTTCCAAGTCACGAGTAACAGTTCCCCTATATGCTCACTAATCAGACTTCATCTGGAATACTGTCAAGGTCTGGACACCAAGATTTAAGAAAGATGCAGAAAAACTAGAAAGGGTTCAGGGGAGGGCAACAGCAATGATCCAAGGTCAGATTAAGGGAACCAGGTATGTACAGCATTGAGAAGAAAAGACTGAAGGGGGGCATGGTATCACTTTATAAGTACCTAAAAGTCTTTCACAAAGATGAAGCAAAGGTTCTTTCTCTTTGTCTCAGCTCAAGTTACAACAACCTAGAATCAGTCTAGATATCAGGAAAAGCTTCATCACTGTCAGAGCAATACAACAGTGGAACCAGCTGCCTAGAGAGCTAGTAGGCTCTCCTACACTAGAAAGACTCAAATAGAAACTGGACAGCCATCTGAGTGGGAAGGTGTAAAGTGGTAACCTGCTTCTGTACTTAATAGAAACTCAGTAACCTGGTTCCTATGGCTACCAAAAGAGCAACATTTCAAAATGTACAAAAATCATCTTCATTAATAGAAATTATTTACAAAAGTGAATAAAATATCATGCTTCAAATGTTAGCTTGCTATTGTCAATCAAATATGGTTACTTACCATTACTAAGGTGTCTTTCCCAGCTAAATTAAAATATTACATAAGCTTTTCCTTCAAAACCCATTTCCTTAAGCTCTGAATAGGTTTAGGGTTTTCATTAAACTTGCTTTCAAACAGAATGAAGATCCAGACTATTAATTTACTGAGTTTTTAAAAAGTTCTTAAATATGCAGATAGTTGTGCACACAAACCAAGCTACACAAACCTGAGGCACATATGGACCATATTGTCATCCTTAAACAACCTGGTGCCTTCCTGATGTTCTGAACGGCAGTGCCCAGCATGCCACTGGCCAGACCAAAGCAGCTGGAGGGCACCAGGTTGGGGAAGTCTGCCCTAAAGTACAACAAGCTGTTAGACTTTAAGGAGCACTAACCCCCTCCCCTCCTCTAAGCATGATTTTTCCCCATCTTCCCCAAGTTTCCATTTTAACCAAACTTCCCCCACCAAATAAATAAATAAATAAACAAAACAAAACAAAACCACGGCTTCAAACATTTCAGAAACTGTACATCTCTCGTAAGGTATAAGCATCGATACTGCAATAGGAAATCTGAACTATGGGAATATGAACCTGTTCATTCTCTAATATACACACACTGCTAAAAGACAGACTAAATTTCTCCCCCACCCCTTAGCAAAGATTTAAAAAAAAATATCAACAACCCCAACACAACTCAATGTGAATCTGGTCAAGCAGGTTTGAAGCGATCCTCAAAGGACAGTAGAGTCCTTTGAAATCTGGCACAGATATCTCTGAACAGTTTTATATACCAAAGTTCCTTTTTAGATCCTTACTGTGAGATTCAGGTACTTCATTTTAAAATATCATAGCAGGTATATATTAACAATCTACAAAGAGTAACCAAAAACTTAGAGTGTCTGCATTCATACAACACAGCATATGTACTCTTCCATGCACAACAAGCAACTTTGCCTGGTTTATATGTGTATTTGTTTACTCAATTCATATGCCACCCCACTAGCCATAAGCTCTCTGGGAGGCCTAAACACAGACCAATAGAAGGCACATTGTAACCCTACAACTACAAAAGACCTATAATAACAGGTTACCATGGTTAGCAGTTTTTTTTTACCAGGATCTACCTGGCAGACACACATGGTTTCCATTCTCCCACTTTGTCCTGCTGCTGGCATATATCCCATCAGCTACCATGCCTGGAATTCAATTTCAAGTTGCACTAAGCTGTGCCTGTGTTGCCTGCCTCTTCCTCATTGGCCCATGCACAGAAACTGGTTTGCTAAAGAAGCTTCTGCAGTTGCCATTTGTGCCATACCAGAAATGTGGAAACCATTATCCTGAGTTCAGACAACACAACAAGTCATGGTGGCATGGAGAAAGCATAGAACAAACTGCTAGGGTTTTTTATTCATGGTTTCTAAAGCCTAAACTTATTATGGGGAAATGCCACAACTGGTTTCACACAATGCAACAAAGCTTGTTTTGTTGTCAAGATCCCAGTGTACTCTCTCGGTGTACTCTCCCATGCACTTCTCCCTACATGAACCTTTCACTGAGCAGATGTCCAATTTGTGTTTGGAATAGGTGATTGAAATACATACTTTTTCTCCCTTCTTGCTTTTTTACATATGCACCAAACACAGGGGACAGGGGAGGAGTTAACATCACAATTTAGACTTTGGAGCGAGAAGGCTCTGGTCAATGGGGAACTAGCAATGGGGAAGCTCTATCCATTTAATCTACGCACGAAGCCCCATTACAGTCTCATCTAGTATCTGTTCTCCTATCACAATTCAAACAAGCAACCACAACCTAGAAACAGCAACAACTACCCCACCCTAACACACCTAGTAATTATGAAGAAATAATAGCAGAGAAGCAGCACCAAAACCAGAAAGCTTAAGTATGTACATTCAAGGCAATCTGTATTTCCCCTTCACCTCAGAAGGCCATTCCAGGCCATGTATCTGCATATTCTTACCCAAAATTTCCAACATGAAAAAATAGTATTCTCTCCAATTTAAAGAGCCTTGTTGATTTATTATTGTTACTATTACTGCTAATGATTATAATACTTAATCTTTGCTTTCAAGTAACACTTAGATGCATTATTTTGACAATCTTCCACAACTTGATGGTCTTCAGATGTTTTGGACTACCTTTTCCATTTTCTTTGACAATTATCTCTGCTAGCTGTCTAGGGAGTTGCTGTCTAAAGCAACAAGCCCACAGAGATGCATCAGGCTGGGGAAGTCAATGGTAAGATAGTATTATCCCCACTGCTGCAGATAGAGCTTGACTGCAAGAGTTCTTTGTACTGTATGCACTGTATTTTATTGTTTTACTATCCTGTTGTGAACCACCCAGAAGAGTTTTGACTATGGATGTTATGGAGATGTGAATAATAATAATAATAATAATTTACTTAATTTCAAAGCAAGGTTAAGAGATAAGAGTCAAAGCGGGTTCTTCCAGGTTTGCAGCTCAGCCATAGCCATTATGACAAGGCCTCTTAAGCAGGTAATTCAAAGCCAACAATCCTTAAAGTGTGTTCTAAGCCAGTACAGAACTAGGGAGAACTGTACCATGTGAACTCTTAAAAGCTTATTCTGGATATGTCTTTCCAAAAAATGTTTTATTTTTAAGAAAAAAAATACAGATTCAAGGCAAAGCCAAGAACAGAAAAGAAACTGAACACCAAACCCCATGTCTAAAAATATTATCTCTACATCTAGAATTTAAAGCTGTGAAATAACACCTTCACAAGCAGCACCTTCACAGGCAATCTTGTTTTAAAGTCAGATTAAACCAAACAATTTCGAAACCTTTCACAGATTTCCAAATAGTAAATCACTGAGGACTCCACAATCCATATTTGGACATTTTTTGTCTTAATTTGTAATTCATTCAAGTCTGTACTGATTGTATTAACGTTAGCTTTTTTGCTTCAAAGGTTCCTGCAAACATGCACAGCAAAGGGTTTTTAGAATGCACATGTACACAGAAATAGGCTCCACTAAATTCATTAGGACTTAATCCCAGTAAGTGACCAAGGGAGTGTAACTTGAATAGCTCATTTCTGAGGAGGGAAGTGCAAGGGCCAATCTGATTGAAATGGCCATTTGAATCTGATTAAGGCGAGAGGGGCTGCTATTTTGTTAACCATGAAATGCCTTATGATTAAGATATTCCCAGGATGGAGGTTCTAGAAGTGGAAAGCAGCCTCAGGCCACAGCCCTCATGAATTGCTCAGTTCAGGCTGTCACACTGTGCCTTTGGAAAGCGGGCATGAAAGAACAGCTTCAGCTTAACCTCAGAAGTTGCAGGAGAAGAAAAAAACAACCAACACCCTACTGCTGAAATAACCTTCCACATACTAGAGAGCAAGCCCTGTACGCTACCAAAAAAAGTCTTTCATACACATGCCTCCTTTCCTGGGAAAAACAAAAATCTGCTGCCAAGGAGCTAGAGGTTGTGCCAGATGCATCAGGGCTCCAGAGAACTTCCCTTACCGTCAAGGCTTGCGGGACCCTCCTCAGAACTGCTGGAGTGGAGGACACAGTTGTTGGTCTGATAGTGCTTTCCACGAACTCCAAGCATCTCCTCTGTAGCTGCTCAGCAGAGGTAAACTGCACCCTGTACTTGCTTTGGGCTGAGATATGGCAGAATTTAAGCCCTATCTCTGGGCAGCAGAAAGCGTACACACTCTGATGTCCACCCTCCCTTCGTATAAAAGACGGGCAAGTCCTGTGCCCCAGTTTCCCCAGGGCAAGGTGCCAATTTCCCCTTTCATCTCTACAGATTAGCTTCAGGGATTGTTGTTGACACCTTAACAAATTCAGTTGAAACAGCCGAAAGACACAAGTTAAGCGAGACCAGCACTGGGCAGGACAACGAATTCAAGCAGGTGAAACCCCACTTCCTTTGAGTAATTCAGAAAATAATGGAAATCATGTTACCAGGCCTGGTAAAGCAGAAGCTCAGTTTTGAGGCTCACTAACCTTCTTGCCACAAGTCTTAGGGCTTTAAAACCTCAACACCTAGAGAGGTTCAGGAGACTAATTTCTAGTTGCAATCAAGCCCTGGCTGAGGAGTGGAAACTTTCCAAAGAAAAAATTGTCCATTCAGAAACGGAAGGAAGTCCATTCCACTTCTCAGCCTCTTGCCGTGTAATGGGCGCCGTGTGATGAACTCCTGCTTCTTCTCGCAGGACCTAGCAAAGTGTTATTTTTTACTTACCCAAAAGACGAAGTTGAAGACGAAAAGCAGGTATTTGATGCACTTGGTGCCTCCCTTGACAGGCATCTTTGAAGTCGAGAGAAACTTCACTGTGCAGAACCCCGGGCGAGGCGGCAGCTTCTTCACTCAGCAAGGCGAGACAAGTTTTACCAGTCCGCACTCGAAGAGATTTTCGCGTCGTGCCACTCCTTAGTTTGGCTCTTCCTGGTGCAGCTCGCTTTCCTTCCAGCAGCCCAGCCCACTTATCTTTTCTTCCCCTCCTACTTCTGCCCTCAAACCCCACCCAAACTCGACGGTCTCTCCTTTAGCCCGTCCTTGTCTTTCTCAAGATTTGTGCCCGTCTTGCCTACTTTTTCGGGTGAGTCTTTTATTCCTTCTCCGCAGAGCTGCCGACAACTTCCCTTGCAGTCGAATTGCATAGGTTTACTCGGAGGTAAACCAGTGTGTTCGGAGGAGCGCCTCTTTGCCTAGCAATTGTATCGTCTTCTGCCCTGCCCCAGGAATTTTTCCTGCGGACGCCTCCCGGCTGAACGACGTCCCGTTGAACTCGAAACTTCGCTGACCCTCCCAAACGTATTATTTCTTGCAAAACTTATTTAGCATTATTACTCCTATTATTTTATAGCTCCGAGGATTTTATAAAATTTCACAAGCTAACGAGATTAATCTTCTACGCTTTTAATGGGCAGTTCAACCTAAGGAAAGCAAAAAAGTGCTAGGCGAAGTTTCACCTTGACCGGTCTTAAAACTCACTGTTTGGATAACCTCTTAAATTCCTCCCATCCTCCTGCGGAAGTGCTGCTCCTGCGCTTTTTAACGGCCGTCCCAAATTTAACTGATGAGGGTTGCTTTGTGCTTGGCTTAGTCCTGCTATCTTTGATAAATACCAGTGTTTTAATCCGGGAATATACTTGAAGGATAAAGAGAGTCATGAATACTATTCTGGGAAAATTGGGGCGGGGAGTTCTTTTTATGAGAGACACGTCCAAAACAAAGCAAAGTTTTGGAGTGCAATTTTTCGGGCTAAGCTTGTTTGGAGGCAACTTGTTCTACTTTTCTGTATAGATCCATTTTCAACTTGCATTCACTGCGGACACATTGGAGAATAGGGGGGAAAACTCTGTTGATGAACTGCTATGCATGTATTAGACCTATAATACATTGCAGGTCCCCGGCTTATACCTCTGCTTCTAAGTCATTGTCACAGAAGATAGACCATGTGTAGACTAGAGTTCTGCACATTATTTGTGGAACCTTTGTTGTTGCTCCCTGCAATGCCCTGGGGATTTGAGCTTGTTCCTTGGCATATATGGTGATAGTTTGAGGAATATGCCAATTTTCCAGGCAAATATTCTGTGTGATGTTTGTTGGGACTTTGGTGGTCCACAGGGGTGCATTGTTAGGTGGGTGTCTAATGTGAGGCAAGTATTATCTCGGTCACTCACTCATTGCAGACTGGGGTTCCTACTAGGTCTTGTGCATGCCCTTTCATTTCTAAGTCATTGCTGCTTCTAGTTATGGATGAGAGCTGTGCACTGAAATTCTGTACAGGATTTGTTGAGCTAAAGGACACTGTTTTAGGATATGTCTCTTATTAGGGCAGGGTTGGGGTTAGGGTGGTACAGGAAGTGAGTTGGTATCAGTCAGTGAGAAATGGGTTCTAAATTTTCAACTGCATGATAAGGGATTTAGGATTGGGTTTATCTAGATTCCTACTGATATGAGTGGTGATCCAGCAGCCAAGGAAGCATTTCGGTGTGATGTGATTGTTATCAGACTTCCTTTGGCATCATCAGGTTAAATGTGAATTTAACATGAAATCAAACTAGGTTGGTAGAAATGCTGGGAGACTGGGCCTACTGGAAGGAAGCGTTTTTCTTTCTGTCTGGGTGCTTTTGGGATTTTTAACCAATGTGGTCAGATTCAGCAGCTTGGTACATTCTTAGTGTTAAATGAATATGGCACTTTAAATGTTTTATTTCTGTACTGCCTAATCGCCAAAGATCTCAGGATGGCCAGGAGTGGCTAGAAAATCCTAACAACTTATAAGCTGTATCCATTTTACAATAGTAAAATGGATACAGTAAACATAAAAATGCAATAAAATCCAGTATAAAGATGTAAAATTTTAAAAAGTTTAAACTACTAAAACAATTTCAATAAAACCTGGAATAGATATCCCATACTGTTAGATGCCTGGGAGTAGATAACATTGTTAGCCTGGTACTAAAAAGATAATGCTGGTGCCAGATGAACATTAGTGGGGAGATCATTCCATAACTGGGAGGCTACTACTGAGAAGCCCTCCCAGCCCACCCCGGCATCCTTCTGGACCGCCTTTGGAAGTCCCAGTACAAGGGAGGCCTGAGATGCAGATTGCTCTGTCAGGTGTCCAAGTTCCAATCTATGTAGCGCTCCATAGGTTAAAACCAGCACCTTTAACTGGATTTGGAAGCATAAAGACAGCCAAAGCAAGTGGTCCAGAATTAGTCTTATATGTTTAGACCTCTCAGTCCTGGCTATTAACCTATTTGCTGCTGTCATGAAACTTTTCCCTTTCCAGAAGATCAAAACAAGGTTTTTGAAATGCAGTCCTTCATTTGAACTAAGATAAAGTTTTTGTGATTGGTGCACCATAACAAGGTTGTTCACAAGTAACATGGAATTAATATTTCCTCCATTTTAGTCTGGTCCATATGAAGATTGATACCAAACAGAAGATTCCCTTCATCCCTTCCTTTCCCAAAAGGCTTGATTCAGGGAGGTTCACACTCCTTGTGAGCCAGATGGCTGTAACTGGATATTACTTAAATGGGTCACTCATTTGACTTGACAAGGCTCGCTGCAGTAATAAATTCATACCCCTCCTTCTCAGACCCTCCCTGTTTAACAGTGTCTCCTCTGAACCTGAGTTGGACCAGTTCTCAGCAGCTGACAAATCTCTCTCATTGACTTTGACATTTCTGAGCCACATTCCAACTTCTCTCCTTCTCCATTGAGGTCACATTCTGTATCACAGCTTTTTAACAAGGAATGCTGTGTTTGTCAAAAATGGGTTCCATTTCTGCAGACACATTATATACTAGAGGTGTTCCACTGGGTTTTGTGATCCCAAGCTGATTCGGGCTTTCATAACAAGGATCTTGAATCGAGCTTAGAAGCATATAGGCAAGCCAATGCAAGCAAGCCAGAAAGGGAGTTATATGTTTGAGTTGTCTGATTCCAGTTTAATAGTCTGGTTACTGCATTTTGCACAAGTCACTGAAGTGTCCTCAAGGGTAGCCCTACATGGAACACATTACAGTAATCCAATTAGATATGACCAGAGCATAGTTTACTGAGGCTGGGCTGTCCCTGTCCAGACAGGTATAGTCAGGCTACCTGCTGAAACTGGTAGAGGGCATTCTGTGCTATTGAGGCCACCAGAGCCTCAAGTGACAAAATGATCAAGGAGTGTCCCCAAACTGTAAACTTGTTCCTTCATGGGGAGGGCAACCCCATCCAGAACAGGTGGAACATTTTCTAACTGGTCAGAGGAACCACCTATTTTCAGCCTCTCAGTCTTATCTGGGTTGAACATCAAGCTGTTGGGTCTCATCCACTCTAGACATGCACCAGTTTAACACATCCAAAGCTTCATCCATTAAGGATAAAAAGGAGAAACAGAACAGTGTGTCATCAGTGTTCTGATGGCAGTACACTCCAGAACTCTGCATGGCCCCACTCAGAAGATTCACAAAGATGTTAAATACCATGTGGGATAAGACTAACCCTTGAGGAACTCCGTGCTGGAAAATAACATGACCAGGCGATATTCTCCAAGCATCACCCTCCAGAACCAGCCATTGAAACAGCAATTGAAACATTATTTAAGGAGGTGTGCTTCCACTCTCTGTGAGCTTTGTGAAACAAATGAAACAGGCCATCTTCTCTGGGATTGTCTGCTGTATAGTACTGAATAGGGCCTTCTTGTTAAGGACCTCAGAGTTGGAGGATGAAGAATTTTCTCTAATTCAAGGCTCTTAGAAGTACAACCCTCAAAGCATTATGGAAATTTGTTAGAGTAAGTCATCTATGCCCACTTTGAGAATTCATTATGCCCCTGCCCCCACTTTTTCCTAGCATGTGCCAGTCATGGGGCCTTTTTGACCTTGGATTTGTTATTCCCTTGAGCACAGAGTGCATTCTTCTCTTCACTGGGTAGTCACAGAAACATAGAAACAGGGCGAGTCAGAAGGGGCCTCTCGGGCCATCTAGTCTGGCCTCTGGCACCAGCCGGCTCCGCTCACGACATGCCCACCATGTGCACGTCCAGCCTATCCTTGAACACCCGCACTGATGGGGCCTCAATGACCTCTTGTGGAAGCCCATTCCACACCCTCGGGGTCTTAACTGTCAGGAAGTGCTTCCTGGCATCTAAACGGAACCTTGGTTCCCTGACTTTGCTCCGTTGGAGCGTGTCCTGCCTTCCTCTGCAGGGGAGAACAGGTCTCTACTCATCTCCATGTGACATCCCCACACATACCTGTATGTCGCCAACATATCCCCTCTGAGTCTCCTCTTCTGGCTGAAGAGACCCAGTTCCCTCAGACTCACGTCATACCCCATCTCCTGAAAACCGGCCACCAACCTTGTGGCCCTACGCTGCACTGACTCTAACCTGGCTATATCCTTTCTGTAATGAGGGGCCCAAAACTGAGCACAATACTGCAGTTGCGGGCACACCAGAGTCATGTAGAGTGGTAGTAATACCTCTCTTGATCTAGAAGCCACACTTCTGGCTATGCAACCAAGGGTGGCATTTGCCCTCTTGACCACCGCATCACACTGCTGGCTCATGCATAGCCTGCAGTCAACCCCAAGGTCCCTTTCACAAGTGTTGCTCTCCAGCCACTTGTCACCTAACCTGTTCTTATGACAGCCATTCCTATGCCCCAAGTGCAAGACCTTGCACTTGTCCACATTGAACGCCATCCTGTTGTCTTCTGTCCACTTCCATAGTCTGTCCAGATCCTTTTCGATCTGGAGCACCTGCTCCTCAGTTGTGGCCACTGCTCCAGTTTTAGTGTCGTCTGTGAATTTGATCAGCAGACTGTTTACCCCTCGACTTCAAGGGGCTGACTAATCTGTGCCCCTAAGTCCCCCGCTTCATCTAATCTCCTATGTGGATATCCCCCATCCTGCTTTGGGGAGAAAACAGAGGCAAAATAATCATTTAGCATCTGTGCCTGTTCCTTCATATCAGTCACTGGATCTCCTTCCTTATTTAGTGGTCCCACCACTTGTCTCCCCTTCCTCTTCCTATTTACATGCTGAAAGAAGCCCTTGTTGTTGCTCTTGATATACCTGGCAAGTCTTAGTTCGTAATCAGCCTTAGCCTTGCGAAGAATCCTTCTGCAATGGGCCTCCTTCTCCCGGTATACCCTTTTGTCTATTTGCCCCAGTACCCATTTCCTATGGAGGTTCCTCTTTTGTCTCATCCCTCTAACCACCTCCTTTCTCATCCATGGCGGCACTCTCCTCCGCCTCCCCACCTTACTGACTAGAGGTATCATCAAGGCTTGCGCCTCCAAAACCTCCCTTTTGAGTGCCATCCACCTCTCTTCAACTCACTTACCTTCCAGTAACCTATCCCAGGAGACTTCCTCCTGTCTGGCCTTCAGTTGGCCCTCTTGAAGTCCCAGCTTCTAGTGCTCGACCTTCTGCACGTCTCCAGTCCCCTGATCTCAAAGCAAAGAATGGAGTGATCACTCGCATCCAGAGCTCCCCTAATCTGTACTTCATCTATCAGCTTCTCCCTATTGGTCAAGACCAAGTCAAGGATGTTTCCCCCTCTCATCACCTCTCGGACCCTCTGTGTGAAAAACCCTCCCTCTATAGCTTCTAGGAAGCAATGTGACCTGGCTGTCACCGCCTAGTGAGTCTCCCAAGTAATATCCGGGAGATTGAAATCTCCCATAATTATTGTGTCTCTCCCCCAGGATATCCTTAGAATCTGGTCTGTCAGGACATCATCCAGGGTCTCAAGGTGACCTGGAGGGCGATAACATACCCCCACTGTCAGGTCTCTTTCCCTGTCAAAACCCCTAAGTTTCACCCAGACTATCTCTACTGAATCCCCATCTGTGCTGCCTTCTATCTCACTGCATCCTGTCCCTTCCCTGATGTATAAAGCCATGCCCCCACCTCTCTTTCCCTTCCTGTCCTTTCTAAAAAGTTGATACCCTTCTATGTTTACATTCCAGACTTGCCTTTTCATCCCACCAAGTTTCTGTGATTCCCACCAGGTCATACCCTCCTATTCCCAGGAGAGCTTCAAGCTCTTCCTGCTTATTACCCATGCTCCTAGCATTGGTGTACATGCACCTCAACTCCTTCCGACTGCTTCCTTTCCTTGGAGTTCCCAGCCTCCTCCTTCCTCCCATCCTCCCTGATACCTGTCCCCTCCATGTTGGAGTCCTGGCAGTCCCTGCAATTCCTCTAAAACCCTGCTCCCAGAGCCCTGATCCTCTCCCCACAGAGAATCCTTGCACACCTGAGATAAAAGCAAATGAAAGTTTCCAGATTCAAGGGTGTGGTTTCCAGTCAGATTTGGATTTTGGTTGCTTTCATTGGTGTTGTGAGAGAAATTAAGTACCATCTTGCATGGAGATGGACAGCAGGTAAAGCTTCATCCCCTTTAAGTTTCTGCACTAAGCAGGTGGCTGGACCTGATGGCTTTCTGGTCCCTTCCAGTTCCACTATTCAATTATATTGTATGGGAAATTGTCACTGAAGACACAAGGTCAGGACAGTTGCTTACAAATCAGCATACATAGAAAAAGACTATGCTCACTTAGTAGATTTTAGTGGTTGATCACAGCCAGCCTTCTAGGACAAAGCAGTAGCTGAGACAAAGGCTTTCAGAAATTTTGCCTTAGATGAAATTCACACATTGCAAAGAAAGCTTTACAGTAACTACTGGCTGCTTTTAGGTATTATTACTGTAGAGTCTATAAGAGTCAAACTACTCTCATGCTGAATGCTTGAGATAGGGAATCTTTTGCTTTGCCTTAGAGAACTTGTGCTGTAATTTTGGGGTTGGCAGTATGGTGCGCATTCCTTCAGACAACTTTTTCAGAGCTCAGAAAGGTACTCCACCCTGTTCAATTACATATGAAAAACATACTTTTTAAAAAGCTGGCAGTTACTATCTTTATTTTCCATGAATGTCTTTGGACCACTCTTGGGGCTCATATAGTCTTAGGAAACAGATGGCAGAAAGCTGCAGGCTGATGTTTTTATCTTTACCACATATTGTTACAAAAAAAGGAAAGGGAAAAGGGACGGGACGGGATGGGGTGGAACGGGAAGGGAAGGGAAGGGATATGTGGGGGTGAGGGGGTCAAGGAAAGCAGGGGGAAGCCAGCAGAGCCCACTGGACACAGCCTGGTAGGGGACAGTGGGGAAGGGAGGGTTCTGTATGGATGGGGACTGCATACATCTGGGAGAGGGAGAGAAGGAACTTAGAGGTAACTTTGGAAGGATCTTGAAAAAGAAGAGTACGATTTTTTCTGCCCTTGCAGTTAGGAAAAGGAAAACAAAGGGATGACTCTGTGTATGCACGATGGGCACATAGGACACTTGTGTGTCTGTACACTCAGTCTTTAGAGCAGTCTTTGTGGCTGGACACATTTCCCATGGCAGCCATTTTGTGGTGGTGTCCAGGATTGTTTCTCATATTGCCATAGAATCATAGAATAGTAGAGTTGGAAATGGTCACAATGGCCATCGGGTCCAAACCCCTGCTGTTGCAGGACACCAGTTTACACCATCTCACTCAGATGGTGGTCCAGCTTTGCCTTGAAAGTCTCTAGTGTGGGAGAGCCCATGAAGCAAGTGCTTTTATATCCCACCCTTCACAATGTCTCAGAGTGGTGAAACAGCTTGAATCTATTTTGCAGTTTATGTTGTTTTGGATCTTTGCATGTGCACAGAGTATATAAGGAACCACTATTTATTACTTATTACTTGAAATGAGTCTGAATAAGGCCAAAGAGTATAGACTTCTGTTGTCCCATACAGCTCTTAGGAGGAGGTGAGAAGTTTTGGGTTTCAGGAAGTGCTTTGCTGATGCACTGTTTGTTAACTTGCACAACACTGTTTCCTCATATCTTGTATGAGTGTGTGAGTTGTGGGGGTGGGGGAATGAAACTACCCAAACATTCGCATTGGGAAACAATCAGGATTTCCTGGTTGGGGGTTCAAGCCAGAACTTAATATAAATGATGAGTAGTCCCTAAATACTGAACCTTACCCAGGGGTTGCACATGGGCATATGAAGGGAAGTCTGAAATTTAGAGGAACACAATCTCTTTGTTGATGTCTGTCCCCTGATCTTTCTCTCTCATTGCCACATTTCTCTTATTCCCTTCTTATTTCCAGTGTGGCGTCAGATGTAGCTTGTCAGAAGATTGTCAGAACATCATATTTTGGGTTCTCTTCTTGTCCTCTTTCCACTCATTCCTTTTCCATTTTGGAGAATTTTTCATTTATTCTGCTATATTTCATATTCATTAAGGAGACTGCAAGATGGAGGTGAGTATTGCTGGAGTACAGGCATTGGAAATTAGAGAACCATGATAAAGCCTTGTTTGTGAAGCATTTTTCAATGATGAATGTGTGGCAAGCTTTCTGCTGGGAGAAATAGAGTGTAAAAGCAAAGAGGAGATGGTGTCATGGTGAGGTATGGTGGTGTGGCTCAAATCTTCTTTTAGGGCACACAGCACAAAGGTTCAGTTTCTCAATCAGGCTGCTCATGCAGCTGTGCTTCAAATAAAGTGGGAACTGGTAAACAAGTTCAGCCTTGCGAAGTACAGGAAAGAAACTTTGGTAGTGGCAGTATTAATAAAATGAAAGGAATCCTCTGCATAGGGAAACATTCTTTGGAAGAGGGAAAGAGAATTTCCTTTAGCAATAGCAGTTAGCGCCCAAGGTTTGCCAGTTTTGGGCTAACTGAACATCAGGTGTGCTCCAGATAAAATCTATTCTCTATTCTCTAATTCTTGAACTGTGCCATGAGATAACTGCTGCTGTGATACTCACAATAAATTATTTAAATAACAAAAGACTTCCTCTAATCCCAAGTCTCCAGTCCCAGTAGAGGCTGTTGGCCTACATCTGTATGTGGTAGGCCAATAGACTTCTTCCAGTCAGTATCCATGAACAGCTAATTCTGTCGAAACTAAGCCGTACTGTTTCTGTTGATGTTCAAATGAGGTGTCCCCAGGGCTTTTTTTTTGTCATAGAACGTACCGGAACAGCGTTCTGGCACCTTTTTTTGGTAGATTTTTCCAACGGATTTAGTATTGCCCTGTTGGGCGTAGCAGGTCGGTGGCAAAAATCATTAAAATAGTGCATGCAGGCTGCTTGTGTGTCCGCGCTGATTGTGAGGGCGCTGCTTGGCTTGGGATTGGTTGTATGGTCGCGCACTGAGTGCTTACTGCTGGCGGTGACCATTATGTTTATGTGTGTGTAGTGACTGGCTACATGCAAAAGGTAAATAATTTATTTTTTAAAAAGTTGGTGAATTGAATTTTTTTTTTAATTTTTAGTGTAAAAGTGTGACCCCATATTTAAAAATGAAAAAAAAAAAACTAATTACTTCTCAACTACCAGTCCTGCTAATAAAAGATTATCCTAAAAAAACCCTAAATAAAAGATTAACAAGATGTGAGTTCCGGCACCTTTTTTTTTTTTTTTTTTACAAAAAAAGCACTGGGTGTCCCACTGCATTTCCACATGAACCAATGCCCTGTGCTTGCCTGCTTCAAAGCAGAAGGCATGCCTACATCATCAATTCATCTGGAAATGCCCCCTTTTACGGTATTCCTCCCTCTTTCACAAACGCAGATCAACAGAGCTGTTGGGCATTTTGGACTCTCCATGGGAGCCTTGCTATGGCATCCCCTCTTCAAAATGTACTACTAAACCACTGCTAAAGTGCTGTCAATAGGCACATGGGACTGAACAAGATCTTTTGCATTCATTCCAGAAGTTAACCTTTTCAGACCTAAGAGTGGAGTGTTCCTTCTGTTTTAATACTAACCAAAAACAAAACAAAACACCTTTGGTTAAACTACATGTTAAAGTGCACCTTTCTGTTTAAAGCTTCCAACTTAATTTCTTTTTCTTAGAAGAAGTGACTGCTCCCTCCCAATTCAGACTGAAAAGATCGGGTCATCAGACTCTTTCCCCTGCACTACAGTCCTGGTGCAGAGTTTCCTAAAGCTACTACTATTTATGCAAGGGAAAATCTTTACCCTCTAAGGCTGATAGCAACTCTGGATCACAGCCATACCATTCAGGGGAAAATATTGGATACTTCAAAGGCCCTAATTCAAATCTCTCTCTTCTCTGCAGCTGTTTTTGAAAAAGAAAATTATGTTGGGAATTCCACTGTGATATAGTTGTGACCAGTGGTTCTTTTGTCATAGAATGCACCGGAACAGAGTTCCAGCACCTTTTTTCAATGGATTTTGCAAGTTTTAAAAGTAACTTTTGAAAATTTGATGTTTGGTCCACGTGAATTTGAATCGCCCTGTCGAGCATAGCAGGTTGGCGGCAAAATCATTAAAACAGTGCATGCGGGCTGCTTGTGTGTTGAGTCCGATGCATGTGTACTTCATCTGCGCTGGTTGTGATGGCGCTGCTTGGCTTGTGGCGCTGCTCAGCTGGTGATTGCTTGTGTGGTTGCACGCTGAGTGCTTACCGTGGGCTGCGACTGTTATGTTTCGTTACACAACTGACGCATGTGGGTGTGTGTACAGTGATTGACTACGTGCAAAAGGTAAATAATTTATTTTATAAAAACATTGGTGAATTGAAAATCTTTTTTTAATTTTTAGTGTAGCCCCACTACACTAGTGTGACCCCAATTTTAAAAATGAAAAAAATTACTAATTACTTCTCAACCACCGGTCCTGCTAATAAAAAGGCCAGAATATTAACAGACACAATGACAGAACACATAGATACTAACAGCAGGGAAAGGAGTCAAGAAGATTTGTCGGATGAGAATTGGACAAAACTTTGGAATTTACTATGAACATTTGCCTTAAATACAATAAATTAAATTTCGGTTAAGAACTGAATATATATATATATATATATATATATATATATATATATATATATATATAAATAAAATAAAAGATTAACAAGATGTGAGTTCCGGCACCTTTTTTCTTACAAAAAAAGCACTGGTTGTGACTCTTAGAATTTAGACATTTGGGGAATTATTGTCTTATTTTCTCATAAGCAGGCTTTGGCTGAATGAAGCTAACGGATTAAGAACTCTTTCTGGTGGACTTTCTTGGTGAGTTCTGGTCATTTGCAAAGGTAATATTTAGTGCCCATTTTATGTTTTACTATGTAAAATTTTCTCTATGTACTTTTTATACTACAACCTTAGCTAGAGCCTGGTGCAAAATGTATACACTGAAAAGTAAATTCTGAGATCAGGAATTTGCTTTGAGTACCATGAGTGGATGGAGCTCATGCTTCTTTCATATAAAAATCCAGTGCTAGTTATCTTCCCATCTCTTATCATATCAACAGTACAATTTAGGGCAGGCAGGAGAGAGAGAGCCATCATATTGTTGCTATTGGTAAACAGCTGGGAGTCAGGAATTGTTGTTGATTGATTTCATTGCCTAGAATGCTACCAGGAGATACTGATCTTTCTGCTCCTTCTCTCTGCTCTCATTAGCAAGATGATCAAGAACAGATGAGCAACTCACAACACCCCTCACCCAAACTAGATCACCTTCTGACTGCTCTTATGTCAATAATTCAGGGTTTATATACCCTTAGTCTGGTTGTTGAGCATTCACTTGAACACACTGCGTAATATTTTTATATTGGTACAGAATATGGGTGCAAGACAGTGTTCTATTGATGCAAATGGCACGTACAACCCATATGGAAGTTCCTCCACTTCTAAGAGTGTGTCAAGCTTAGCTCAGATAGTGCCATATCTGTTTGTGATTCTGAACTCTCATGCTCAGCTCTCTTATGCAATTGATTATATAGTGCAGCAGTGAGACTTCTCAGTAGACATGTATGGGGTTTCACTGCAAATGTCTTTGTGTACTTCAACATATTATTACAGCATGGAGTAGGGGAGGACAGAAGGTTGACCTGCAGATGTTTGGACTCCCAAAGGTGTCTGGCCATTAGCCATGCTGCAGAAATCCCTGTAGTCCAAAATATCTAATATCTGGAGATCCACCTTCTGCCCACCACTGATATACAAAGTCACATAAGTTCACAAGCTTTATCGTGGATTGGCACTTCCAGGAAAAATTGCCTCACAGTTGATACTTTCCCATGTTTCTGTACTACTCAACTGTGTATAAAACCATAAGCTATTCAAATGTTATTCAAATAACAAGTTTCTATTTCAGGAATCTTCACATACACCGAGGACTATGGAGAGCCTCAGATTAAGGAGGATAATTCCACATGCTACAAATGTGACTGCTGGACCACTTTCTTCATCATATATGATAGAGAAATCTCCTGGGAACTGATGTGCCAGCACAACCTTTGCTAACAGGCTCCTGATCTTCTGCAATACTAGAACATATGACTGTTCTTGCTGTTAGTCCAGTTAGACCAGCTTGACTGTGTATCTGTTTAAAAAAAGGACTGGAGGTAATTGTCTTGGTTTGATTGCCCTACCATGTCACCAACGGTGCAATCAGATGCATAGTTATTCAAAACTAAATCCCAGTTTGTTCAGTGGTGCTTAGTCCTAAGTAAGCATGCACAGTTGCATGTGAGAAACGTTAACTTGAGCATGCCTATCCTGAATAGTGTTCAATGTAAGGCACCAGATTTAGCCATAGGGACTAGAAATCCACTAGTCTTATGACTACCCCGATACAGACATATCACCTTTTGCACCAAATGCCTATAGTCGGACATTATTTCTAAGAGAGTGAAGGTGAAAAGTTATTTGTGACTGTTACACTGTCTAAGAAATAGCTGAACCATCTGATCAGCATCATGTATAGCAAATTGAAATTCATTAAGAATAAACCATCAGATCTGGAACTCATTGTAATGACCCAACTTTCTAGAGTTGGGCATCTGGTAGAAATTTTCCCCACAAAATTTTAGCAAAGTTTCCTGTAACATGCCATAACAGGGATACCCTGAACTCACTCACAAATAGTATCACTCTGTCTAACCACACATTGGACTAGGCTGAAAAGTTTGTTTTTCATGGGACTTCTTCCACCCAACCAAGTTGATACATTTCATGGCCACAAGGAATACACCCAGCACAAATTAACTGGTACTCCAGCGCAGTTGAACATCTTTTTAGCATACTATTGAAAAAGTACCTTGACACACAAAAACTGTTTTTTTAACACTAGAGAAAGAAGAATTATGCACTGATGTCCCAAGATAAATCCATTCTCTGCTGTCAAACCCTATCATAAATCCTAAAGAACAGATAAGAATATAAGAAGATAAGGATGCCGCATTCCATATTGTCCTGGATCAATGTGATTTTGAAGTTGAAAAAAATATAAATGCTTAACATCTAACATGCAAAAGCTCATACTTGTCAACATTTGCAAGAGCTTTGCTGCAACACATATTCATGTAAAGCAAAGGAGTGGGTTCCTTAATAGCCCAACTGTACAAAGCTTTCTTAAAAACTTAAAATGTACCATTTTTATTTGCAGATGACCAAATGTCAAGGTAAGCACAATCCCCACACTTTGAAGAGTTGGGTAGAAGAGGTACAGCTTTTGTCATTCCTTTTCTAGAAGCTGTACCAACTGAAATTCCTTCTGCTACACAGACTTAAAGCTATAGTATTTAATGTTCTTTTTTGCATTGGGCACTTTACCCAGAGGATGAGACAGTCCTCGGGGGTTTTCAGTTAGTGCAGGAGCAAAGCACCATGCAACAGAAGTTAAACAGGTGAGACCTGCTTCGCCACACTGTTTACCAAAAATGACTGAGTTGCAGAAATTTGATGTATCTGATGAAGTATTCATTTTTAGCCCAGAAAAGCTTATGACACAATGAATTTCCTAGTTTTTAAGGTGCCACAAAACACCTTGTTGATGTTAGAATGATCTCGTATTTTTCTTCACATTCAAAGTAAAATTATTCCAGGACAGTGACATACAGGGGAGCATCCTTATGTAGGCTCATGCTTAAATTGTTTTATAGTAAACAGAATTTTTACAATCAAGTACAGCAACCAAAAATTAATCTTAGTTTTGTTGAGTGAAGCAGCCAGTAATGATTTTCAGCATAAGAAGGAGAAAGCCATTATCCCAGCTTAGGATCCCATGGTATACTGGGACTTGCAGGGCTGGTATTTTGCCAATTAACCAGTTAGTAATAAAGCAAATTAAGAACACTGGGGCCCAGGTAGTCTCCTTAATCCTTCCAGTTCATGGAAGAGGAAAAGACAGGGGCAACAAACAAAGAACCCACCCTCCATGTGAATTCTTGGGTACAATGGTGGTGTAGCCATGAGATTTGAATTCTGAAACTATGGGCTAAGCTTCCTGGAAGATGAACTACTGGCAAGTGATGGATTGCACTTTACAAAGAAAAGAAAGGATGTATTTGGTCACAGTATGATGAAGTTTATCAAGAGGGCTTTAAACTGAATCCTACAGTGGAGGGGGAAGTACTTCTGGGTGCAACCTCAACTGACAAAGGATCAAGTACTGCAACAGTGAAAGAAACTCCAGCTGAGCCTAACAATAGTCTGTCAAAAATGTAGGAAAGAAGCCAGGGAAGAATTCATGTGGCCTTGGATGTCTATACACCAATGCCCAAAGTATTGGAAACAAACAACATGAACTTGAACTCTTAGTGCATGAGGGCAAATATGATCTGATAGGCATAACTGAAATTTGGTGGGAGAACTCCCATGAATAGAATTCCAGAATTGCAAAATTTAACCTGTTCAAAAAGAGCAGAAGTAACAGAAAAGGAGACAGAGTTGCATTTCATGTTAAAGATACATATTGCTGCAAAGAAATACAGGAAGAAGAGACCAGTAATCCTATCAAGTGTATCTGGATTAATATAAATGGAAAAAAGAATAAAAGGAGCATAGTAGTTGGAGTCCACCCAAGTAAGGTGAAGATAACAATGAAACTTTCAAATAAAAATTGCCAGTATTTCATGAAGACATGATGTCATGATGGAGGACTTCAATTTCCCCGATATCTCGGGAGTCAAACTCTGCCAAACATGGCCCCTCTAGAAGATTCGTAACGTGTTACTGATAACCAGCTCCAACACAAAGTAGAAGTAGGAAAGAGAGGTACAGCTTTACTCGACCTGATTCTTATCAACAGGGAAGACATAGTGGACCAAGTAACAGCTATGGGAACTCTGGGGGAAAGTGACCATGCCTTACTTGAATTCTCAATAATAACGGAAGCTCAATTTAGCCAAACATGCACCCTGATTACTATGAATGGGTGTGAAAGATGGACAGGAAAGAAAACTGGCAGGAAGAAAATTGATGCATTCTAGACATGTTGCTGGACGAGAACTTTGTGAATAGCCTGGTCTGATAGAAAGACAAGCACATGTCTCCTAGATCAAATCAAGCCAGACCTTTCCCTGAAAGCAGAGATGATAAAACAGACTGTTGTGCTTCAGGTACATCATGACAACTCTCAGTGAAGAAGACAATCATGCTAGGTAAAGTTGAAGTTGGAAGAAGACCACCACTGGGATGCATCAGTTCCATAAAGGAAGCCACAGTCTTGAGTTTACAGGAGCTGAGCAGGTAATGACATTTTGGAGGGTGTTCATTCATAGCATTTGCATAAGTATTATTTATTTATTTATTATTTATTTATTTAGGAGACTTCTATGCTGCCCCATTCACCGAAGCCTCGGGGCGGCTCACAACCATAAATAAACTTCAAAATAGAATAATATAAATTAACGATATAAATTAAGTCGCCCTGGCCAAAGAATAAAATGAATAAATAATATTAACAATTAAAATAACATTTGAATAAAAAGGTCTTTGCCTGGTGCCGAAAAACAAATAACGACGGCGCCAGGCGGACCTCTATGGGGAGCGCATTCCATAGATTGGGCACTGCCGCAGAGAAAGCCCTCCTCCGATACTCACCCTCCTAATTTCCTTCACGGAGGGTTCCCAGAGAAGGGCCTCTCCCGTAGATCTCAAGGGATGGGCGGGCATATATGGGATGGCATGTTAGCATGTAACAACAATTGCATTTATACTGCATTTATACTGCCTTATTTTGAGTTCAAGGCATCATATAATGTTTTCAAATGAGAAAGGTGTAAAACAAAAAAGTCAAGTATGTTAAAAATGGTAAAGCAATATGACATTGTTGGAGGTGCAAGCCTTGACGATACCTCTAGTTAGTAAGGTGGGGAGGTGGAGGAGAGCACCGCCATGGATGCGAAAGGAGGTGGTTAGAGGGATTAGACCAGGGGTGTCCAAACTTTTTGCAAGGAGGGCCAGATTTGGTGAGGTGAAAATGTGTGGGGTCCGACCATTCAGCCTGACATTCTTTGAACCATTAACATTAAAAGCAAATAAACTATTTTATGAAAGACAACAAATAACTGCACTAATGTGAAGGGTGATACTGAGATCTCGACTGCATTATATAGGCCAGGTCTGGCTCAAAAACAAGATGTCATGCAGGTGAAAGTCACTTAGTCTCATCCTCACACGGTTCTTGTTAATGTTCATAACTGAGAATGTCTTCTCTCACAAGTATGTCAAACCAAACAAGCTCAGCATTTTCTTAGCAAATGTTCGAATCTCTTGGAACCTGTCTTTATCCAGCTGGCGGTAAAAGTTGACAAGAGGGAGCTGTTGGTGCCGACTGTGACACTCGGCATCACACTGCAGCTCAGTGAGCTCCAGCTGCAGGTGGTCTGGAGCATCATCAGGGTCCACAGAGAAAGGAGATGAAAAAAGCGTGATCTCCTTTTCAATAGCTGCAATCCTGAAAGCGCTGTTGAAACTCCTCAGCCAGAGATGAGATGTCTGCTTCATACCTCCTTATTTGCGCACTCATATTGTTCTGTGGAAAACTGGTCATTATTTCCTGCAGCGATGGGAAATGTGTGGTATTGGGCTGCGTTTGTGACAGGTGCCTTTGGAAGAGTAGCAGCTTGGTCCCAAAGGCTTTGATATGTGAATACATTTGGCTTACCACTGCATTTTGCCCCTGAAGGCTGGTGTTCAGCACGTTCAGATGTTGTGTTGTGTCAACTAAAAATCCAAAATCAGCCAGCCAAACAGGATCAGATAGCTCTGGCATCGGTTGTCCCTTTTTTGCCAACAATTGTCCAATTTCCTCCCTAAGAGAGTAGAAGCGCTGCAGTGCAGACCCCCGACTGAGCCATCTTACCTCGTTGTGATACACAACATCTCCGTATTCAGCCTGGATGTCGAGTAGAAACTGTTGAAACTGGCAGTGGCACAGGGCTTTGGAGCGAATATAATTAATAGTTTTCATCACCGGTTTCATAACATGATCATATTTTAGATGTTTGGCACAGAGAACTTGTTGGTGAATAATAATAGCTTTGCCTTCTCCTTCGCTGACTTTGTTACAAACTAGGGTTGAGAATCCACTTTGCTCGCCAGCCATGACAGGTGCGCCATCCGTAATAATCCCAGTGACTTTATTCCATGATAGTTTCATGGAATCTACGGTGGAACAAACAGAAACAAATCTGTTCCTCTATTTTGGTCCTTAAGGCTCTGGAGGTCAAGTAGCTCTTCACTCATGTTCATGTCATTGTCACTCCTCTCAAAAAAATCCATAACTGAGCAGTGTCAGATGCATCCGTGCTTTCGTCGCAGGCTAACGAAAAAAAGTCAAACTCCACTCCTTTTGCCTCTAACCGTCTCTTAATATCAGATGAACGTCTTCAGTTCTCCGTACCACAGTGTTACGAGCCAGGCAAACATTGGCAAACTCTTGCTTCTTCTCAGGACAAATTTTATCCACCATTTTCATCACGCAGTCTTTAATAAATTCACCCTCAATAAAAGGTTTGCAGTGC